ATAATTCATTCGTTTTTGCATTATTTTCCAGCCTGTGCTAATGTTACTACAAAAATGTTTTAAATTGCTTACCAGAAACAAAATTGATGCTCAAGAAGGGGTTCCAAATGATATTCTTTGACATACCTTAGTATACATTTTCCCATGTGAGAGACATAAGTCCATAATATCAAGTAAAAATTGCTTAGCCTAAAGCCCTTCCATAACTCCTCTGGAGTCGAGGAATCCTTTTTTGTAAAGGTAGTGTCTTCTCAGAATGGGATCTAACCCAGTCGAAAGTTCCATGGTAGTGCAAATTAAACTACTAAAAAAGAGAAACCAGCTGTATTTAGATTATTGTTTTGGTTCTTGATTAAAGTCAGCAGGGGTGTTTGGCGGACTATACCATTAGGACATAAACATGAGAAGTCTGAAGGCCACATTGGAGAGAGCTTCTTCGGGTTTAACAAAGGAGTCAAAAACGCACGCACTTTGTATGATTTCTTTAGAAACTGCCTCATATGCATATGTACTATTTCTGTCAGTTTCCCATTGTGATTTATTAAACAAACAAATGTATATGGAGCACATATGTGCCAGACACTGTTTTAGGCACTGTGTATCGAACAGTAAATAGGATAGATGACAGTCCTATTCTCTATTCCATGTCACAGGGAAGGGACAGATGAAAAACAAAGAAGAAAATTAATCATTTTCATATGCAGAATTAAAACAGTGATAAGATAGGCTGGGTGTTGTGACTCACGCCTGTAATCCCAACACTTTGGGAGGCCAAGGTGGGTGGATCGCTTGAGGTCAGGCATTCAAGACCATCCTGGCCAATGTGGCAAAACCTCGTCTCTACTAAAAATATAAAAATTAGCTGGTTGTGTTGGCGCGCCCCTGTAGTTCCAGCTACTCAGAAGGCTGAGGTGGGAGAATCGCTTGAACCTGGGAGGCAGAAGTTGCATGAGAGGAGATGACATCATTGCACTCCAGCGTGGCCAACAGAATGAGACTCCATCACAAAAAAATAAAAATAAAAAAAAGAGAGAGTTACATGATAACTCTTTTTTTTTTTTTTTTTTTTTTTGAGACGGAGTCTGGCTCTGTCACCCAGGCTGGGGTGCAGTGGCCAGATCTCAGCTCACTGCAAGCTCCGCCTCCTGGGTTTACGCCATTCTCCTGCCTCAGCCTCCCGAGTAGCTGGGACTACAGGCGCCCGCCACCTCGCCCGGCTAGTTTTTTGTATTTTTTAGTAGAGACGGGGTTTCACCGTGTGAGCCAGGATGGTCTCGATCTCCTGACCTCATGATCCGCCCATCTCGGCCTCCCAAAGTGCTGGGATTACAGGCTTGAGCCACCGCGCCCGGCCCATGATAACTCTTAAATTGCGTGTCAGAAAAGGCAGCTGAGAGGAGTAGATCTAAAAATGTTTTAAATAAAAATGTATTATGGAACGAAACTCTTTTTAAATAAAAAAATTTTAGGATAATCTTATTCCGTGATCAATCTTGAAGGAAACAAGCAGGGAAAGCAGGAGGTGGTTTGCTATAAAAAAAAGAAAAGAAAAGAAAATGGCCCTAGGCTCTATTGGGTTTTCCTAGCAGGGAATTATGTCTAGCTCAGAACATTGTCTTTCATCAACCCTTTTAGGATTTCAGATGCTTAAATATAACATGGGTTATTGTAAAGTAATTAGGCAGATTTTTTGAAATGCATATAAGAGCGTATATAAAAATAATTTTTCTTCCCATGTCCCCTTTGGTAAGGGCTGTACACTTATTTAAATGATGCTGCCATTGTTCAAAATAGCTTTGGACCTTTGGCTCTGTCTTTCAGAGTTTGCTTCCTAAGCCATTTAGAAGCTACTAGCAAAATCATTTTCTTTTAATTTTGTTATCTCTCCCTGTCCTCTTTGTGTTTAAGCTTTACTGATCTTAGGTTCCTTTTTGCTTGCTGCAGAGGTTCCCTAGGACCATTATGGTCCCAGGCTGTAGCTAAGAGAATGATAGGAAAACTGAGTTTGTATATTAGCTGGGATCCAGTCAGGGGAGAGGAATCAGAGGGCAATTTAGACAGGAAAAGTGTAATATAATTATAATATAAGTTATGCCAGGAGATTGAGTAACAAGGGACTGGCTAGTAAGAAATAAAGATAACTCTAAAGAATATTGGCCGGGCATGGTGGCTCACACCTGTAATCCCAGCACTTTGGGAGGCCGAGTCAGGTGGATCATTTGAGGTTAGGAGTGCGACACCAGCCTGGCCAACATGGTGTGAAACAAAGTACACAAATAAGCTGAGTGGTAGTGGCGCGTGCCTGTAATTCCAGCTACTTAAGAGGCTGAGGCAGGAGAATCGCTTGAACCCAGGAGGTGGAGATTTCAGTGAGCCAAGATCATGCCATTGAACTCCAGTCTGGGTAACAGAGTGAGACTCTGTCTCAAAAGTAAAAAAAGAGGGAATTGATGAAGCCATTTATGGGAGGTGTCCCAACAGAAGCACTCTGCTACAAAACGGCTCAGGGTGAGGGAAGTACTGAGGAAACTGCTGGTCACTGGGTGCTGGGAGCATCATGCGTCCCAGGAGCCAAGTGCTGGAGAACAGGTGCCTGCCAAGTGAGCACACCAGAACAGAGAAGAAGAAAACCCTTCCTCCTGTGCGGTCTCTTCAGTGCCCTTTCCTGACAAAGTTTAATGCTATGCCAGGTAGCAAAGGAAAAGTATTTTAAGGACACAGGTTCATTTTCACAGAGCAAGGAATTAAGGGTGAATTTGCACATGGAAAGCCATAAATGAATAATTGGCACAGTTTATAAAATACAGTTTTACATGATGCACTTAAGGAGTCAAACTAACATGCTTTTTGGAGCTACCTGCTTGCTATAACTAACATAAAAACTGATAACATCCTTAATGGAAAGAAAAGCTTGGTCAAATTGTCATTGCACCATAGCTCCAGAAGGAAAAAATAGGTCAAAATATGACTATGTGTGTATATACACATGTGAGATATCGATATATCTGGACCTAGAAATATAGATACCGGTATCTTTCTGACATAACGCTATTGGTATAAGGGTGCCAACACAACTTTCATGGGAAGACCTATCATTTTTTCTGATATCATATTCACTTTACTGTTTGGGTCTTCAAATGGCCATAATATTTTTAGTACCTTAGTGAAATAATGATTATATTTGAAGATAGATTTTGTTGTTGTGGCTGTTTTGTCTTAAAATGTTTCCTACTTGACAAAAAAAAAAGAGTTAATCCTGTGTCACTATCCCTTTCCTTTTTAAAAATCATACTGGTCTATGAAAATCAAATATGGAAACCATTATAGCCAACTAACAATGTATAAGTATAAATTGTGGCAAATCACTATAACCCTTTTGTGAAATATACAAGAAGAAGTTTTGCATTTAGAAACCAAAACCCAATTGTCACCTGATACTCAACAACAAGGAGATATCAGTTCATCAATGGAACTTAATAGCCAGGGTCATATACTGTATATTCTTTGTCTCTGCTTAAACTAACCATTCCCAGGTGTCACTATCACTGTTTTTCAGATGATGAAAACCAGATGGAGTCAAATAATTGTTTTTCAAAATACTGTAGTTGGTAAATAGCAGAGCTGAGAGTTAAGTAGGAGTCTGAAGGGCTCCAAAATGTTTCAGGATTTAAATAGACATCTGACTGCCTCCGAAAACCTTTCAATGTCTAGAGAAAGATAAAAACTGAATTAAGGGTTACAAAATGGGATTTTCGAAAAATAAAGACCAAAATATTATACACTTATATATTTTATTATGTTTCCTAGAGAAAGGAAATGTAAAAAGAAACTTCATAACTTGTTTTCAAATGTATATATGAATATAATGTATGTAAAATGAATATAATGTATGTAAAACTCAGTAACTGTTTTCATTTCCACCAAAGCAAATATAAGTGCAGCAGAGTACACCAAAGAAAGCGGAAAAGTCCCTATGAATTGTTAATACACGTTGGTGTATCAGGAAGGAATGTGCTTGTTGGAGATTTGAGGACAGTGGCTTAATCAAATATAGATTATATACATGGGAACCAGAAGTCCAGATATGGATACTTGCTGTGATTGTTTCAGTAGCTCAGTATTAGAGCCAACCTTGGCCTTCCTCTCATAGTTACACAATTGCTGCTACAGTTTCAGCTATCACATCTCCATTCAAGCAGGAAGGGCAAAGTGGTATGCCAGCTACCTATGACTCATTTCATCAGCTTTTCTCAAACATCCTCAACTGCTTTTGGTTTTGATCTCATTACCAGTGCTTGGCCTAATGTGCTTCCACAAAGTTACAAGGGAATGTGGGGAAGCAGGGAATAACATTGTCATGATTGGCTTAGACCATGGGTCAGTGAAACTCTGTCCTGGGGGCCAAATTCAGCTCATACTTGTAAATAAAATTTTGTTGGAACACCTCCGTACCCCTTTATTTACATGTTGTCTATGGCTCCTTTCATGTTACAATGGCAAAACTGAGTAGTTGCAACTGAGACCGTATAGCTTGCAAAGCCTGAATATATTTACTTACAGAAAAGTTTGCGACCCCTGGATTAAACCAATCATGATCCTTTGCCTGGGGTGGACCATATGGACACTTTGGGGGTAGCTGGGCTGCCATTAAGCAAGAAAGAAAGGGGAGAAAGGATATTGGAAAGAACCAATGATATATGTCTCACAGGTGGTCACCTGGTCCAATTAATTATATACAAGACCCAAAAGTGATCATATATTTTCGGTTTTAAGTCACAGAGTCTCCTTGAATATGTTTTTCTACTCCTTTTCCTCAAGACCCAAATGAGACAATTTAGAAAGGCAGAAATTTTGCAAATACACAGTATCAAATTATTGACAGCGTTGTGACAGACAGTGAATTCGTTTCTAGTTTTCTGACTTTTACTAAGATACTGTCAGAGAAGATCTTAAATCCATATTTTATTGATTGACACTTCCCTTTAAACTGTTTATTTTAGGTTCTTGCATACACTGAGGGACTTCACGGAAAATGGATGTTCAGCGAGATACGAGCTGTATTTTCAAGACGTTACCTTCTACAAAACACTGCTTTGGAAGTATTTATGGCAAACCGAAGTAAGTCCCCTTAAATATTTTGAAAGAAAATGTGCTCATATTTACGTATTATTCATTTACATGGTATGATACTGTCTTGATTTTTCCACTGTATTTCTGATATGCTCTAGCTTAAACAAACATAAATTCTTTTTAAAAAATAAAAAAGAATGAATTTGTTTGAAATGTGAACCCTAGGTTTCTCATGGATAAAGTTATACTGAAAGCTGATTTTTCATGAAGATTCATTACCTTTACAAATAAATCATGGCAGGCACTTGAAGATGACTTGTAAAATTGATGGCTAACTTTCCTGTGGTTTTCTAAACCCTGTTTTTTTTCTTCTTACCACAGCCTCAGTCATGTTTAATTTCCCTGATCAAGCAACAGTAAAGAAAGTTGTCTATAGCTTGCCTCGGGTTGGAGTAGGGACCAGCTATGGTTTGCCACAAGCCAGGTAATTATATCATATTACATATTATCTATGGCTTGTTAACATATTTCAATCTCAATATTACAGCAATGTAAATGTGGTTGTAACATTATAATTATTTCAGAGACCAAAGAATTTTCTTTCTCTGAAGGTTGTTTGTAGGGATAGAGATTATGAAAATAGCTATTTTGAGAATGACAGAATGGTTAGGGCAGATTTTTATTTAATACATATAAATAAGAAAGTAAAAAACTTGATTGCATATCATAACTAGCATATAGTTAAGACATTCTTGCTTGTTAAAATCTTACGGGAAACATAGCAAAAGCCTCAAGATCATAAATGATTAATTGCTATGTAATAGCATATAAATGTTTTTATAAATGCCATATATAAATGCTTCTTCATTAAAGCAAGAAAACCCTTAGAGTTTATTAAGTGTAATAATCATTAATTGTATACTGGTAACCACATTTCCTAGATTTTCATCTTGGTATTTTAGAAGAATCATTTTGAAATCTTATATTATTAAAAGATACTAATGTAAGTATAAAACGTAATCAGTAGTTATTCATATTGCTGATATTAGTTTGTCTGTTTTTGGCTCCAAATAACTGAATACCTGACTAAAAATGACTTAAACAATAGGGGTATTTTGGTGTGTGTGTGTGTGTTTAATATAAAAGATCTGGAGTTAAGGTGCTGCCAGTATTGGTTCAGAGGTTCAGTGATGTCAGAATTCTATTGGTTTTCTATTCACAAAATCACCACTCCTTCTCCAGCTACTACATCTTCACACAACTGCATTACAGTAGGAAAAAGACACAAAGGATTTCTCTTCAAGCTTCTCTGTTTTAGGAAGGAATGTATTTCTCAGAAGCCTAGAGCAATCTTTATCTCAAGTGCCTTTGGCCAGAATACAGTCACCTTCCCATTCCTAAAACAATCACTGCCAGAAAGGTGTGAGTTCCGTTGGCTTAGCCCAATCATTCCCTAGGTTTTATGGAAAAAGATGTCACTGATTCTTCGCCAGCTCTTGTTTTTTTGTGGGTTTTTTTTTGGGGGGGAGGGTAGAGGGGGACGGAGCCTCGCTCTGTCGCCCAGGCTGGAGTGCAGTGGCACGATCTCGGCTCACTGCAAGCTCCGCCTCCCGGGTTCATGCCATTCTCCTGCCTCAGCCTCCTGAGTAGCTGGGACTACAGGCGCCCGCCACCTCGCCCAGCTAATTTTTTGTATTTTTAGTAGAGACGGGGTTTCACCATGTTAGCCAGAGTGGTCTCGATCTCCTGACCTCGTGATATGCCCGCCTCGGCCTCCCAAAGTGCTGGGATTACAGGCATGATCCACTGCTCCCGGCCTTCTTTGCCAGCTCTTACATGAACAAAAGAGGATTTCTGTGGATGAGGAACAAAGGGAGATTGGCTTTAGGTAGATACCACAATGTCTACCACATAGATTGTTATGTCCTTGAGAATTATTGCACAGCACTGTATGGATGGAAAGGAAAACTAATCTTTGTCTATTCTCCCTTGAATAGGCTACAGACATTTGAAAGACAGGGACTGTGTTTTATTTATCCTTTGATCTGCAGGACCTAACACAGTGCCTAATTGCAGCAGTGCGTTTAAAGTGCTATTCAGCTAGGGTTATGTTGTATTGCAACTTATCTATTCTCTTTAAGCTTACAGTGTAAGACCAATTCACTGACATGTATACACATGCTCAAGGTATTTGCTAGTAGAACGACAAGATTAAACTAAGATATTAGTAGATAATGAAGCACTTATATAAAATACAGGTCAAAGAAAAATGCATTTCATCTATCAAAGAAAATGAGGTTAGTTCTGCAAGACTTGTTCTTATTGAATCTAAGCTGACTCATAATAATCATTACTTCCTTTCCCAAGTGCTTACATACTATTTGTTTAGTCATCAATTTAAGAATTTACTCAGGAATTGACATTAAAAACTTACGAATGGGTCTAACTTTTTCCTTTTTAAGAGTAATCTCCTGTCTTCTGGCATATTTCTCAATGATTCCTGAAAGATTGCTAGTAGAGGTTTCTATATGGCATGTATAATTTCCCTCAGTATTCTTTGACTTGTCTGGACCAGAATTCATTTAAAACAATCAGAAGCTCTTTTACTATATTTCTTACCTATTATGAGTATTGTTTCCCCTTTAACCACATTTGGTCTCTTTTTGACGTTTAGAAGATCATTCTTTTTTTTTTTTTTTTTTTTTTTTTTTTGAGACAAGGTCTCACTGTGTCACCCAGGCTGGAGTGCAGTGGCGTGATGTCAGCTCACCACAGCCTTGATGTCCTCAGACTCAGCAGATCCTCCCACCTCAGCTTCCCAAGTAGCTGGGAATACACACATATGCCACCACATCCAGCTAATTTTTGTAATTTTTGTAGAGACGGGGTTTCACCATGTTGCCCAGGCTGGTCTCGAACTCCTGGACTCAAGCAATCCACCCACTTCAGCCTCCCAAAGTGCTGGGATTACAGGCAAAAGCCACCATGCCCAGCTGGAAGATCATTCTCTATAAGAAAACTGAAAAGAGCAGTTCAGTAGTTTTGGTCTCTCTGTAATTCGTAATACCATTCTATCTTTAAACATTTTGTTGTCCTTGGCTTGTTTTCCCCCCAAAAGCTCAACTAATTATTAGTTTCCTAATAATATTCTTACAGACTCAGTTTTATATACTTCCCTAGATATACATCCTTAGAAGTACCAAGTGGCGATGGGGAGACCCTGCATCTAGGCTTAAACCTGTCACTTAACTGGGTAACAATACGCAAGCCTCACACTTAGTAGGAATTCAATAAATATTGGTTGAAAGAATGAATAACACTACTCAAGCAGAATGACACTCTTATCTACCATAAAATACAGAAAATATCTTTGCAAGAGATATTCTGCAAGAGATATTTTGCAAGATATCTTCACAAGAGATATTTTGATAATCTTTTGTGCTATGTACAAGACAATGCCTATTAAGATTCCATGTGAATACTCATGTTAATAATCCATGAGTAACAGAAATAGCCTTAAGTCTGTTCCCAAAGTGAACACCAAGGGGTTCTGAGATATCACAGTGAATTCCCAGGGGTACTGCAGGGCATCTGTTAATTTGTTTGGGAAAAACAGCAACATTTGTCAGATACCACACAAAGTATTTGCTCGAGTTAGTTCCAAGTTTCAACTTAGAATGATTAGATAGGGCTGCATTTTTTTCAGTGACACCTCTGAGAAACTGGTGTTTGGTGGCTACTGTTTCCAAAAACAAGAGCCACATGAAAAATCAGTGTGGAATAGGAAATGAATGTGATGATGTCAGATCTGATTCCAAGGTTTCAGAAGCTCGGCAGTGTCCAACAGACATACACACCCCAGTAGTAAATGTGGTTATTTAAGAATGAAATATAAATATTTCTCTTTAAGTTTATGAGTATTGGATTTTCAAATAGCTACTCAGTTGTTAAGATGTTAAATATTTATTGAGTTGTTTAGAGCTAACTACTTAATAAACACAATTGTAAGATATTTCTCTTGGCCAAGGAGCACTATGAAAAATTGTGGAGAAACTAAGGGTGCCATGAATTGAAAAAGTTTGAGAACCCTTGTCAATCAGTTTAAAAACCCAATAGCTTTATCATACTTTTCTAAATACAACGGCTTTCGTTATTTTTAGATGAACATGTTGAACCTGGAAAGTTTCATAATTTGGACGGATTATCACGGTTTATTCCCTTAGGCTGTTCCTATGTCCCTTCTTCTGGACCCATGCATTTTTTCAAAGTTCCCAGTTGTTTATATTTTACACCATTGCAGGGATATTGTACAGGCAGACGCTGTGCATGTGTGCACACTCTGTGTGTGAAGGCAAGTCTTGAACATTTTGTTCATTGATAGACATTAAGTCAAATGCATGTAAGCAGTTACCTGACTACCTATCTACCTACCTAGTTGACATGGAGCGGATTTGCTGTATTGTTTAAAAACTACTTGATTTATCTTAAGTATAGTTTTACTTTTTGTTCCTTGTTGATTTGTAAAATGCTCATTTGCAGCTATGATTTTACAAGTAAGGTTGCTTTCAAATTGTTTTATACTGAGTAATTAAGTGTATCTTCCCCATAATGGAATTCTCAAATACTGCTAATTTCTACAATTAAAATATATTTTCTAATTCATCTAAGAATGATAAACCATAAATTATTTTAAATTGATTACCAAACTAATATATTAGTTAATGCTGGATTTTTTAAAATTAAGAATTAAAGAGACTATGTTTGTTATGCTGTGCTTAATTGCTAGGAGGATATCATTGGCCACTCCTCGACAGCTTTATAAATCTTCCAATATGACTCAGCGCTGGCAAAGAAGGGAAATTTCAAACTTCGAATATTTGATGTTCCTTAATACGATTGCAGGTAAGATGTCTCATTCTTTAATCTAATAATATGTTTATGTTCGTCAAAATCATGGTAATGTAGTCTGATATAATACATTTTTCTCTTTGGAATTCAAATGCAGCATTAGAGAAAATTTTGAAGCACTCACATTAAATTTTATCAGAAACTGTACAAGCTCATACCAAACTCTTAGATGCATTTATCGTTGAAGAGGCTTTTCCTTGCTCTCCTTCTGCCATTTCCTTTGCTGACAGCTTTGTCTGAAGGTTTATTAGAGTCAACAAACCATTGCCAGAGTGTCTGGAAATAATAATGGGAAAAGTAATTTCACTACTTTGTCATTCTCAGCAATAGCAGCTAGACAGGAGAATAACAACAGGTTTCTGCCTAGTACAGATGTCACCTGGATTATGGCATGATTAGGTTACAGCATCTTTTTTTCTTAAAATCTTCAAATAAAAATACAAAATCAGATTACATTTTCTAAATTATGAGTAACTGCCATCAACCTCCACAGTACCACGTTTGCAAATCAAAAGGAGGTAGTGGCTTTGTTTTCTGCTAAATCAGTGGTTGTCGGTGGTTAAACATGTCTATGAGATTTAAGTACTTCATCTTTTTTCTTAAGCTCCAAAAGCCCTTATTCATGATGAATTACAAAGAGTTTACTTCTATAAACCAGGCTCTACAAAAAGTTTTTGCAATTAGATGAATTTAAATAACCACATAAATAAAGATGCTTACCGTAATTGTTGTTTTGTTATGAATGAATGTTCACAACCGTGTATTTAGAGCAGTGTTCTTCTCCGAATCATTACTTTAAAAATATAACTATGTAATATTACTCTTTTTTAATCTATCATACATAAGTGTGACTATAGATACTATAGGTATATATTAAATATGGGTAAATAGATACATATTAAATAGACAAAACTTGATTTGTCCACAAAAGGGAATAAAGCTATTTGATATATTAAAATGCTTTTTCATTTTAATACCAATACATTCATGTATATATATTCATATATACATGCATTTATTCATATGTGTAGTATATACACATATATATCTTGAATAAACCTGTTTACTCCCTCAAAGATAAAAGAAATGTGTTGTACTATTAAATTAGCATATTATTTATAAATAGAATGAATTTAAACATCTGAAATGTAAAGAACTTAATTACATTAGCATATTTAAGTAAATAGCATGGTGTAGCAGAAAGAACGTAACTTTCAACACCAAAGAGAAGAGAGATAGAATCCCAGATCTGCCAACTTTCTGTCCTGGAGCATAAGTTGAATTTTAACTTTTAACTCTATCTTGGACTTTTAATCTTTTAATATCAATATTTAATATGTTTACATCTGTTGTAATAACTGGTATGTTTGGTCTTATATCATCTTGTTTTATACTATTTTTTAATGTTCTGTTGCTTTTTATGTTGTTTGTTCTCTGGCTATATGAATGCTTTTTTGCTCAGTGATATTGTGATTTAAAATATAAACACCTTGTTATTAATTCTCCTAGAGATATTACATTTTTAAAAGCCTTATAAACTATACTTTTCTTAATTTGAACTCAAAAATGAATTACCATTTTTAAATGATACGTGAGTAAGACAAAAACCTCAACTCAATTTTATTTCTCATTCATTGCTTATCTTTGCAAATATACTAGCCAGAATCCAGGTTATTATTAACTTCATACTCTGAGTTCTCCGTCTTTTTGCAAATTAAGAAAGGTTTCGAACTATTGAAATTATGTGTTCATGCAGTGTATTATTTTCAGCTGTATGGATCTTTACCTGATTTTGGGGGATGATGTTCTCTGCACGTTCTTGTGTAACATTTTTCCATATTCCCTGTATTAGGTTTTTGTATTATCTGCTCTTGAGAGACCTATCAAGACTTAGTATCATTAGAGACCGTTAGATGGACTTACGGGTTTTTTTCCCTTGGCTGTGCTAGCTATTTGGAACTGTTGGATATAAAACTGGAGGGCAGGGTGATATACCTCACTTCCAGTTCAGTTTCCAATGTAGCAGGCAATCATATTAAATGGTTTTGCTATTCTAAAATGAGATTTTCTCCAGGCTCTGGATGGAATGTTTTCCAGTTCATTGTTGTAAAGGTCTCTTCTAGTCTCCATCCCTTCCCACTGCATTTTACTCATGTCAGGTCAATTTCCCACAGTGTGGTACAGTACCACCTAACTACTACCCACTTCATGCCTGTTACTCTCTGGGAGTCTCTTTATCTGTCCAACTCTGGAAAGGTTGCTGTGTCTAAATCTGGGTGAGATAACATTGTCATCCCTTCTAAAAGTTGCACCTGAGCAGTATAGAGCCTAATATGCTTTTTTCTATTTGGGACAATCTTTGGGTTTCTGAGCCAGAGCATGCAGACTGTCATGGGAATTAAAAAGCATCTTTCTATTCTTTTTTGAATCATTGAAGTCTGTTTTATTTATAACATGAAGATTATATAGGCCACTGATTTTTTCAAAACTTACTGGGTACTTCCTTTGCAATTATTATAACTAAACATGAAAGCCTCACTATTGTAAGCAATGGGATAAAAATTAACAATAGGGACTAGGAGCACAGAACACTTACAGTCTAGATGAATTAGTGAAATACACATAAATAAGACATTTTAGGATGGCTGATAGTAAATGCTGAGTCATTGCTACAGTGAATGCTGCATGAGCTCGGCAGAGGGGAGGTATTTTAAAATGTGTTTGGGGAGAAAAAAAGAGCTTCACAAATTTCTGCCAGTTGTATATATATGGTGTGTTCAGTGGACAGAATTATCATACCTTGTCTGGAGTAGAGAATTATATATAATATTGGAGCCTTAGAGAAGAGTCAGATTTATAAAGAGGTTTTTAGGAATCAGTATAGTTTTGGAGTAGAAGGGAATGCGATGTGGAGCTTTAGGAAAATTAAACTGATAATTATGTATGGCATAAATCAAAATTGAGATTCCTTGGCATTAGTGCTATAAGGAGAGTATTACAGTAGTAATAGTAAATCATTACTGAATATTTACTGTGTACCACATATTCTAATTTTCTCTGACTACAGAAGCAAGTAAAGTATGGTTTCTGCCTTTAAAAAGACATAATATAGTGAGGAAACAGTTGTATACCAGTAATTCCACTAAAAAGTATTAGAATGAGGAAACAGACATGTATACCAGTAATTCCATTAAAATGTATTAGAATATATAAAATTGTGTGCAATTTTATAATGTATAAAAAATATTATAATGGGAGTATATGTGAAGCCATTTGCAGTAGTCAAATCTAGAAGCCATTATTTATAACTAAGAGATCAGAAAAAGCTTCCCATATGTGACATTTAAATTGGGAATTGAAATATGGTTAAGAATTCACTAGGAAATAGGCAGAGGGCATTCCAAGAAGAAAATGTGAGGTGAAGATTTTGGATGAGTATAGTGGCAGCAGGTATGGCAAAAAGAGAGTAAATGACACTTTGTACAATATCATTATACAAAAAAGTTTCACTGTAATTTGCTCTAGTTCAGTGGTTATCAAAGTGTAGTCCCCTGACCAGCATTATTACCTTGGAGACCTGTTGGAGATGCTGATCCTCAGACTCCTCCTCAAACCTAGTGAATCAGAAGCTGGCAACCTGCCTTTCAGCAAGCCCTCTAGTTGGTTCTGTTACAAAAAGTTTGAGCACAATTGCATTAGCCATTTAAGATCTAATTATCAGGACAAGATTTGCGTATAAAACATTTAAAACATACAAGAAAGTACAGGATTAAGTGCCATTCAGTGTAATACAAGTTTAGAGAAGTGAGAGATTAATATGAAATAGTAGACTCGAGGAAACCTTCTTGGAAAAGATGAGCTTTAAATGAACTCTTCAAGGATTTTGTCAGATGTAGATGACTATCCAGGCAAAATAAACCTTAATAAGTAGAATGACAATTGAAAAAAAATTATGAATATGGATATCCTGAGGTACTCTCCCTGGATATATTCCTATTAATTTAATTCTTCCTTTGCCATCATCCTGAAGCTTTAAATAGGAATGCCAGTTTAAACTGAGCACCAGCACTAAAGACATGGGTGATGGTTTTATTAGAGAAGCTTCACTAATGCCATGATTGAATACTTGTTAGTGCAGCAATTAGGTTTTCCTGTTTTCCTGATTGGTGGACAGTGTGTATCCATTCATCTCTTCTTATCAAATCACCCTTCAGAGTTCTCTTATGATCCTAAAATAAAGGGTGCTCTAAAGATGTTAAGTTGTACCAGTATCACTTCAACGAATATGGGTCCTAAAATAATCATACTAGTTTATAACACTGTTTTAGGGATACAGTTATTGTTCAGGAAATATTTATTTCATTTGATTGATTGAAACTTAAGATTTATCGTTTCTAGATAGGATGTTAGTCTTCTTTTTGACTAATTGTAATTCTTAGGTAATCTAAAGCCAGGAAATGGTTGGCTTATATTTTGTCATAATATTTTTAAACATTTTTATTTGGTATCAAGATTGAGAAAAATAATAGTATTTTTATTATATCTTTGTTTTGTTTCATTTTTCCTACTGAAACATTTCTTTGTTAATAATAAGAACTCAGAAAACATGGAAAGTAAGTTTATGATTATTCAGTGATTTATAATGTGCCAAACATTGTTCTAAGGTCTTTATATGTATTTGCTCATTTAATCCTCACAATAGCCCCATGAGTTAGGTTCTGTTCTTATCCCCATTTTACAAAGAGATGAGGTAGAGAGTAGCTAAATAACTTGGCCCAAGTCATAGGGCTAATAAGTGACAAAGTTGGGATTCAAACCTGGGCAGTTTAGCTCCAGAGTTTTCATTCAGTTACTACGGCATACTGTTCCAGGATATTCCTGGTACCATACAACTTCACCTTCAGTCACCAGCCTTAACTTATTAACTGCTTTTAAAACCTAAATAATTAATGATTTAAAACAATTTTGTCATTTTCTTTTACATTTCATCAGAT